GTCTGTGGGCAGCGTGTTCCAAAGCCTGAGCACCCTCTGGGCAAGGAATTGTTCCTCAGCTCCAGCTAAACCTGCCCTGGGGCAGCTTGAGGCCGCTTCCTCTTGTGCCATCCCTTGTTCCTTGGGAGCAGAGCCCAGCCCCCTCCTGGCTCCATCCTCCTGTCAGGCAGTTGCAGAGAGCGATAAGGTCCCCCCTGACCTTCTCTTCTTCACACTAAACCCCCCAGATCTCTCAGCCCTTCCCCATCACACTTGTGCTCCAGGCCCCGCACCAGCTCCATTCCCTTCTCTGGACATTTACTTTTCATGTTCATAGCATGAGCAATACAACACTGACAATACTGCCTTCCTTCAAACGTGACTCTCCTCCAGGTGCTTCCACCAGCAGAATGAATTACAGTGGTTTATAGCACCAGCTTTAATTGCCAGGGTCAGAAATGGTTCTGCATGACGTGACCCCTGGCAGGTTTGCCAGTGACGTCTGAACCCTCTCCTCACTCTCCAGGAGGATTTTAAGCTATTTGATCCCTGCTGTTGGGAGAATGTGGGATTTGAGGAGAGTTTCTCTGCAGGCTGCTCTTTGAAGGTGTGAAAAAGCCACCAGAACTGTGTAAATGCTGTTGCTTTTTTGACAAACCTGTTGTAAACTGGAGGAAACACTTCCTTTTTGGATTTGCTACTTTTCCTTTACATCAAATGAGCAGGCAGCCCACTGAGGCCTGGTGCAAGGGAGGTGGTGAGAGCAGGAGCTCAGAGGATGGACACAGTTGCCTTAATAGTAATCTCTTGAAAGTCAGTCTTTTCTCTCCAACCAGTAGGAGGGTGATACCCAGCTGTAGGATGCTGCTGTCGCACCAGAGGTGCATTTCAGTGCATGGATGGGATTTAGTCTGCAGATGCTGGACTGAAGTGATGCGAATTTGGAGCCCTGGTAAATGGTCAGATGTGCACTTAGTGACTGACAGTTTTGCTTCTTGTGCTAGCCCAAGCTGTGGCCGTCGTGGTCTGTTGCAGAGGTGCTTGGAAGCACCGGGAGCGACAGGGGAGGAATGGCTGCTTCTTGCCTCGCCTCTTCCTGCCCTGGGAGAGCAGAGCAGCCAAGTGAGACGTAAAATGCACTAATTGCAATTTCCCAGCACAAGAATAGGCTTGAAACATCTTTGAAAAGAACTGAAGCAAAACCAAATAGGATGAGTAAGGCAGGGGAGGTAGAGATATAAGGTCTGAGGATGAGGTCTGGAAGTTGGGGAGAAATAGAGAAGTGAGAAAGAGTTAACAGCATCTTCAAGGTAGTATTTGGGTTTGCTGAGGCCATGAAGTGGTCGGTCCTTTCTGGCACATCCATGCCAAACATTTTTGCATGGTTTTTGCCCATTCACAGGTAAAAGGAACTGACCCACAGTGCAGAAAGAACTGGTCAATCTCTGTGGTGGGAGTTGTTCGTAAGGATCTCACTGGATAGAGAAAGGGTAATGAAAAAAGGTTGGAAGGAGACCAGAGTTAAGCTAAACATGAAGTTCATACACAGGGAATCTGTTTTTACCAGAATTCCAGCACTTGGAATCTTTTTGTCCATGATTTCTTAACTTGTTTTCTCTGTCTCAGGGCAGCAGCAGCCTCTTCAGAGCACTCCAGATGAGAGTGGCTTTCTGTGTGCTCTCTGTGATCATCTTGAGAGAGGTGGTACAATAATGTCTTCCATATAACTCATCTCCAGAGAAGAGGCTCTTTTCTGGAGAGCTGCTTTTCACAGTGCCCTGGGAAGTGCCATTCTCTTTAGCTGTAACAACCTTGCTCATTCCTGTGACGTAGATAAGTGGAAGGAGTTTTATTTGGGAACCAGCCCCTATTCTCTAACAGTTGCTTATGAGGAGTATCTGTGATGGGTACCTTACTCTCATAACTGTGCTTCTAGTAGCTGCACAGCTACTGTAGGTACTTGAGTGTCTTCATTCCTGTTATTCCTGCTCAGTGCAGCCTGTTTTCCATTTTCTGAATGTTCTCCCCCAAATTCTCTCCCATCTGGATTTGAACACTGCTGCTCCTATCTGTGAGGGGATTCTCAGGGGCTACTTACTTAACTTCCTTTCTGCTTCTACAGAGATGCCACCCTTCACACTTCTCACCTCTCGTAAACACTGTGTATTTCTGCACCTCTTTTAAGATACGTTCCTTTTAGTTTGCATCTTTTTTTGAGGCATATTTGGGATCCATTCCTCTTCCCAGGAGCTGTTCACCAGGTAGTATGTGTGCGTGCCCAAATGCAACATACATTAAGAGTTCATGGTGGGGCCTGTTTCCTTGGGTAGAAAGACCAAGGCCTTCAGAAGCTCGAGTTCTTCAGGCTTGGGGTGAATTCCTCATGGGTGTTTTCTGCAGAAAGTGAAGGATTTTGTCAGGGTGATGGTAAAGTAGAGGCAAGACTGTGGATTTCATAAAGTCTTTCCATAAGCATCTGAAAGTGAGTTTTGGTTTTATTTGTGTGCAGAGAAAGAAGGTTTAGAAAAATAGAGTGTTTCTTGGAGGCACCTGCTTAAGTACATCCTGATTTTGCTCATGCTGATTTCGTTATGTGTTTTCATTAATCCTCGAGGGTCCCAAAACCCCACGTGGAGTGATGTTTAAAGGAGTGTAAACCCACAAAATCTGCTAAATGACTGGTGTTCCCATAGCAGCCTCTTCTGTGTTTTGGAAAAACTGAATGAAGTGACAGAAAGGCCATGAACCATCCTAAAATTCATACTAACAACTACGTATCTCTTGATAATTTGACCTACAAGCTGTTGACAAATCATTTTGGAAAGTCTCATCCAAACCCCAGTTGTAGTGTCACAAGGATTTGGGGAAATACGCTGCTTTCCTCAGTAGAAAACACCCTTTTTATACTACTGGAAATATTTGTACTGTTCCCTTCAATTTTCTGGTCTAATGAAACAAAACAAATTGAGTCAAATGCAAAGAGAACTTTTTATCAGAGCTGATTTAAAGACATTCACATCCATTTTGTTGATTTAGTCTGATTCATTTTCAACTGCTGCTATTGAACATCAGAAGGTGATTGTTGACTTCTCAAAACTTTTAGTCAAGATGTGAAACCATTTTAACGATACTCCAGTTGCTTGGCAGGGGTAGAGGGAAGGGTTCTGAAACCACTGGGTTTGAAGGTGCTTTGGTTCTCCTTCCCTCTAAGCCCAGTTGAAATGTAACTGGTTTCAATATATACCCCAATTCTTTGATGGCTATTAGAAGCAGAGTGCTGCTGGGAGCACAGATGCTTGCACATAGTAAGTACTTCTTTCACAGCTTGGATTGGTCTCGTCTCTTATGCTTTCCTAGAAGCCTTTAATGCAGTAATTCTTCATTTTACAGCATCAACTACCAATGCCAGTCCAGTCTCTACATCCTCAACTGTTGTCAATATTTCCACGTCAGCAGTAGCCAGCATCTCGCAGGTAAAACTTCTTCCTTGTCATGTTTATGTGCAGCATCAGTAAAATTAAGTGAGCAGAAATTAAAATCCTCAAGCACAGCTTCAGGTGCTCAATGATCTCCTAAATGAGTAAATAGTCTTCATAAATGGATACCTTTTGTCCCAGCATGCAAAATAGTTGCTTGCTGAAGTCAGGGCATGAGTAAAAGCAGTTTATCCTGTGGCTCTAGTGTCTGGGATTGCACCCTCAGCCAGTACCAAGACCACTTTCTGTTGCTGTTAGTACATCTGGTATCAGAAAATAGAACCCAAGACTAAGCCACAAATACCAGAGCACAGAGAGAGTGGACTGATGCTGTGGCATCCACTTGGTACTCCCCTGTTACTGTCACATCATTCTTAATGAATTTATTTGTGAAGAATCTGGAGGCAGAGGAGTGCCTGTCACTGCTGGCCTCCTGTCTGCAGAACCTGCCTGTGCCCTTGAGCTCTCAACCCTTTTTGGGGATGTCTTAGATATGCAGAAAGAAATAGTATGAAGCCCAACTGCTCTTGCTGGGATTTCTCTTTGACAGGTATTTTCTAGCATAAAAGTCATCTTAATAGAGAATGTTTTCTGAAAGAAGTCCCTGTCACAACTAACCCTTTCCTCAAACAGGACTATCCCACGTACACAATCCTCGGCCAGAGTCAGTACCAGACGTGTTACCCAAGTTCTGGTTTTGGAGTGGTGACCCCAGCAGAGAGCAACACGGAGAGCACTGCGTTAGCCCCAGCCGCGTACCCAGCCGAGAAGCCGAGCACCGTGGTGCCTGCGCGGGCGGTGCAGAGACATTCCTCTGGTAATGGCTGGATTTTAGCAGGGTGCCTGCAGAGCACCTGACATAAACAGTACAGAGTGCACACATGGGGAAGGCTTTTTGTCCAAAAGGTAATTGCAGCACCTTTGCATGCTGGCCTGGACAGACAGGACGTTTGCCTTCTGTTGTCAGACTGGTCTCACTGGTGTGCAGGGTCTAAGAGCTTAGGTATGGGAAGACATGTAACTGTGACAGTTCAGGAGATGCCAAATACATGCTCTGAATGCCACAGGGAGAGGGAATTCCAGGGGTGACTTGAAGAGTTGTTAGCAAGAACTACCTGGGACTGCTGGTTGCCATGAGTCGGGCTGGGTGTTCACTTGGCCTGCAGGGCAGTGGATGATACCCACTCTCAAAGCCCCTCTTAGATCCTTCCTTCCTGCAGGCAGGTGTTCAGATACCTCACAGCCATGCCATAGCTGCTAGTCCCATGATGGGAGTCTTCCAGGTCTGCTCACACATTGTCAAGAGCTGTAGTTGGGCCATCACTTCTCAATGAGTTGTTGCTGATGTGCTCAAAAGCACATTCTTTCCTTCCTTCTGCTTTATCGTGTAAAGTGGTTTTGAAATGACAGCTCACCACACTGTGATGTTGTAGATCAAGAAGCACTTCAGCACTTGCCCTCTTTCAGGAAGCAGTTGCCCTCTAGTTAGGGTGAGCAATATCAGATTTATCCGTGAGAATGTTTCTTAGTTGATGTTGAAAACCTATGGAATTGATGTGTCATGTCAGGTCACTGGCCAGGGAATGACCCAGCAGTTCATGTTTTCATGCCATTTTCTTAGCTCTGAAATTCTCCAAGGTTAACATTCTGCACGAATTTCCATGGGAATTGCTGTGTCTTGTTTTGAAAGACCCAGATTGAATTCAAGCTCTCTCAGGTCACTTTTGCCCTCTGCCTTCTCACTACAGTTCTGGTCCTGCTGTGAAGTAGTCAGGCAGAGGTTCAGGATGTTAACTCTTCTGTCTGAACTCTTAGTAAAGGATTCAGAGGGTCTCTCCCATCATGGCAGTAACATTCTGCACATCAAGGCATTGATTTTTATGTGGTTTTATGGTGGTGCTTTACCATTTCCCTGGGAAGGGTGCTCTTACCACTAGCAGAATAGGCTCCACCATGTATCTCCATCAGCCATGGCCATGGTGTTTGCCACCTCTGTGCTTCCAGGACCAAGTTCATCCCTGTTATCCTTTACTAATTCTTGGATAGGGCAGTGGAGCTGTGGTGTGTTTCACAGTTAGCATGCTGTGCATTTGTGTGTGATTAACACACTCCAGATAACTCTGTGCTCTGACTGTTGTTGACTGATAGTCAAAGGCTTTCAGTGACACAGGAGCGAGTAGAGTGGAGGTGGAAACAGCATGTGTTGTATAGTGCTGCTTGGCCAAAAAGGTGTTTGACCAGGAAGTTTGGGAGGGAGAAGCATCATGAAATACTTTCCCTTGTACATTCATTCCAGACTGAGGGTTTCTGGGTTCTCCCAAAAAGTGGTGAAAGAAACCATTGAGTAATAAAGCAGTTCCAGGCTGGTGAGACACCTGAGGGGTTACAGGCCTTGGGGTCGAGGGTGCTCTGTCCTTGGCTTTGTGCTGCAGGCAGAATGCACTAAGTAGCATGGTCCTAGTAGACTGAATGGAGAAAACAGAGCTGCTTTGAAATGCTGGGACAAAGAAATCATGTTTTATGTTCTACTAAGGATTCAACTACTACTGCATCAATAAAGCAAGATAACTTCTTACCTTTTGCAAAGGAGGTTTATGGCCAAATGTTATAAGCTTTATGTTGGTGTTTGTTTTGAGAGATGGGGAGTGAGACCTGTGTGATTTCTTCTAGGAGATGCATCCACAAGTCCTTCATTATCAAGAGCAACAGCAAGTAAAGAGTTAGATGAGCAGGCAAGAAAAAACATCCCTGGGAAGAACAGGGGAAAGAGGAAAGCAGATACCTCCTCCTCACAGGACAGTGAACTGGAGGTAAGTAGTAAGCTTGTTTTCTACAGGTAGCATTGCAGAACAGTGTGGTGGTAAAAGTCCTCCTCTTTTTCTTTCATTCTGTCTCCATGGCAATTTTCCATCTGCCATTACTGGGAAGAATTTGTCTCCATCCTCTTCTCAGTTTGCTTTCAATGAGTTGGGGTCTGCTTTTAGATGACCCTTAGCCTCCTCTTTACTGAAATGAACCATCACAGCTCCCTCAGCCTCTTCTCTAGGCTGCTGGCCATCTCGACAGCCTTTTGCTGGCTGCTCTCTGGTTTCCTCACGTAAGTCTAGAACGAGGGATGCCATCTGGGGCGGCCTTCCCAGTGCCAAGTAGGGTGAGATGGCACCTTCCTCCTATCAGCTAGGCACACTTGGCAGTTCATCTTATCGCACACAGAGTGCTGCTGGCTCATGCTGCACTTGCACCCTCCAGCTCCTGCCAGCCTGGACCCATACAAGGGGTTATTCTACCCCACATGCAGATTCTGCAGTTATTGAACTTCTAGTTCCTGTTGGCCCAGTTCTCCAATTAGTTAAAGTCCTTCTGTATGAAACTGCTATTCCTCATGGCAGCTGATCCTGCTTATTTATCGTAACAGAGGTGTCTCTGATAAACACCAAAGTCATTTACTTAGTGCTCTCCAGATCACAGACCATAAACTTCTCCCCTAGCAGGGCTCTAAAGTTCATCAGCACTCTGAGGTTCTGCTTTTATTACTGTAAAAGCAAGAAAAGCTTTTGGAAACAGTTTGACCAAGAGAGCCTTACTCTGAGTGTGTAGGTGCACTCTAGCAGGATATAAACCCCACTGCAATAAGCTGAAAGAGTTTAATGTGTTCAGCCTGTGACATGAATACTGTTGTTCATATCTGTTAAAAGCATGCAGCACTTAACCACAGAATTGCCCCTAAAACTTGCTGCTTCACTGTAGGTCAGTGCTTGGAGTATCTCAGCTCTAACCTGCTTTTATTCTCTATGCAGCGAGTGTTTCTCTGGGACCTGGATGAGACCATCATAATCTTCCATTCGCTTCTCACAGGGTCTTATGCTCAAAAATATGGCAAGGTAATATTGTCTTGTGGGGGGGAGAAAAAGCATATCTGTCATGCAGAATTCAATGTTGATCTTTGCAAAAGGAATAGATCACGATCATTTGGTTGAAATGTATGAGGTGGTACTTTCAACTTGTTGGGGAAAGAACACTAAATTTGGCTTTACACAGAGCTAGGATACAGACATCACAAACACTTCCCTTCCTGCAAGTCTTAAAAAGTCAAAGTGGTTTTATCATCCTTGGGAATCGTTGAGGTCACAGCACATAGTGAAAGGAAGTACATTTCCTCCTTTAAAATATATTGAAGATTCTGTGAATGTTTTATTTGTGGTACCTCTGACAATGCAGCAGTCCCTGCTGGGCAGTGCTGCAGTGCTTTGCTGGGCAGTGCTGCAGTGCTTTGCTACATTTTGGGTCAATGTATTCCCAGAATGGGGATTTATGTTCTTTTATGGAGTTGTTTAAAACCTTAGGGAAATTGTAGTTCACACCACTGAATGCAGATAGAATTACATCAGGCTTGATAGGCAGTGGAAACACTGTGCCATGTAACTGGGGAAGATTGATCCCAATTTACTCCTGCCTATAACCACAGGGCATTTATCTTTTCTCTTTTTGTTTTGCCAGGACCCAACTATAGTGATTGGCTCAGGTCTGTCAATGGAAGAGATGATTTTTGAAGTAGCTGATACCCACTTGTTTTTCAATGACTTGGAGGTACGTGGCAAATGGTTTTGAAAGGCAAAGCTCCACATTACCTGGTTAGAGCTACGCTGCGCCCTTTGTGAGGGCTGTTGTGCTTCCAAGCCACTTAGTGCTAAAACATAACAGTCTGCAAACCTGAAGTGGTTCCAGGCACAACCAAATCAGAGGTGGACTCCTTTATCTGAGACAGGCATTCTGCAGATTTCTAATGTCAGGAACTCTCATAGCTCTCTGGTGGGTTTCTACTTGATCCTATGTAAATAAGAGGAGTGATTCCTGCTTTGTCTTCTACTTGCACACTGGACTGGTGAGCGCTTTGCTTTCACAGATTCTGTTTTGAAAGGAAGATCAGAGATGTGGGGAAAAAGTGACCTTGAGAATGTCTTATCTCAGGGGCTGTGACTAAGCCAAGCACAGAGCACAGCTTGTGCATCCCAGCCAGTGTCTCAGGAGATTACACTGGCAGCGTAACAAGTGTGAAGGACACACTTCCATAGTCTTGCTGCACGTGAGGAGGTCCCACAGCACCCTCCATCTGCTTTCCTGCAAGCTCTCTCTGCTGCCTCCCATTCCCATCCTGCCTCAAGGACTTCTGAGCAACTCCCATCCTCTTTCATGCGCAGTATTCTTGCCAAATTAAATACATCTCACTGTTCCACACCACTTCCACTGAAGGCTGGATACGAACGATGAACAGTTAATTTTAGGTGCATCACTGATGCACATCATGGAGAAATGATGGGTTTGTTGATACAAATAGAAACTTAAATGAAGTTTAAGTGACTGTGACTGCTTGCAGCTGTGAACTTTGCAAAGGTGGTACCTTTGCAGTTACCTCCCTGCCCCAGGAAAAAACAGAACACCCAATACAGTCTTGTTTTAGATCACACTTTCTTTAACCTGCAAATTTCAGTATGTTTCTGGATTATGACAACACGACTTTATTTGTTTCTTAAACAGGAGTGTGACCAGGTACACATAGAAGATGTGGCATCTGATGACAATGGCCAGGATTTAAGGTGGTGTATGATGAATGCCTGAAATGTATAGCTGATGCAATCTGGTTTTTGTGGGGACTTCAAACCCAAATGGGGTAAGGGATGGAGGTCAGCACTGTGCAAGGGATGAAGCCTGGCAAATGGTGTTTGTTTGCTGGGGGGTGTTTCTTTGAAGACCTACAAAGCATTAAGACTCTCAGAATTATAATGTGAATTACATTGTCCACTGCTGAATGTTACCTTTGTGCTCAGTGATGAATGGAGAACCAACACTCCAAACCTCATGATCTTGACCTTTGTGTGGTTTACATCCACCTGTGAGCTGATTGTGCAGGCTGTCAGAGGGGTGAGGGTGTTTTCTGCTGGGTTAAAGAGCAGGATGGGCTCATGGAAAGGTCTGAGAAGTGCCTGTGTGTCAGGGAGAGAGCAATACAGGGCAAGTGGTGAAGCAGAGCTCCTCTCCAAGGTGCTTTTCTAGCTGCTGTCATCAAGCCTGCACCCCCCAGGAAAGCTGCAGTGATTCTGCTGCTGAGGCAGAACACGTCTCAGATGTGCTTTTCTGAAATAGCAACTACAATTTCTCCACGGATGGCTTCAGTGGCTCAGGAAGTAACACAAACCACAGCTCCTCAGTTGGTGTCCAGGGTGGAGTGGACTGGATGAGAAAACTGGCCTTCCGCTACCGCAGGGTACGAGAGGTCTACGACAAGTACAAGACCAACGTTGGAGGTGAGTGTTCACCTGCACCAGTATCTGAGCACTGAATCTGTGGTGGGTTTTCCCATTGCCTTAAAACAGCCTCAGCTTTGAGGTGCCCTCAGTGCTGTTATTTACTGCAGAACGGGCAGTTGAACTGTGGGCTGCCCCTCTCTGTGTTGGACTTGCCCACTTAGCTGGGAAAACCTGTGGTTCTTGCCTTCCAGGCCTTCTGAGCCCACAGAAGAGGGAAGCTCTGCAGCGACTAAGGACTGATATAGAAGTGCTAACAGATTCCTGGCTGGAAACTGCATTAAAGTCCCTGTTGCTCATACAGTCCAGGTATGGAAACTGGAAACATGTATGTTGCTTTCTCAGCCCTTTTCCTCACTCTGATTCCCATTCAGTGCTGTGTTGCAGCAGTGTCTATGTGTAACACTGCTGCAGGTTGTCACAAGTACTGAGAAGCAAAAGGAGTGAGCGCAGGAATTCCACTCCTTGGGAATTTTCTGCTGCATCATCTGTATTAGGATGATCCCCATAATAGGACTGTGCTCACAAAGTTCCATTTCTGCCAGAGAATTTCTGTTTTAAACAAAAAGCAAATAAACCAAGCCCACAAATCAAGCCTCTTGAAGGCAAGACAGTTAAGCACGTGGCACTTTGGGAAGCTGAGCCAGCTGCCCAGGGCCATAGCTGGGCTTTTACAAGGGTTTTTCTTCCTTTTAGGAAAAACTGTGAGAACATCCTGATCACAACCACCCAGCTGGTGCCAGCTCTTGCCAAAGTTCTCCTCTATGGATTGGGCGAGGTGTTTCCCATTGAAAATATTTATAGTGCTACAAAAATAGGTAAGGAGTTGTGCTGGTGCCTGGCACTGAGGTCTCTGCTGTGGATTAGCTGGGATGTTTATACGGGAAACACAGTTTCTGCAGCTGAGCAGCCCCCGTGGCTGCTGTGGTCCCTCTGGCCATGTAACAGTGATGGCTTCTGGCCTCACGAGCTGAACTGGGTGTTATCCCCTTCCCAGTAAGATGAGAATATGTTTCTGTACTGGGAAGAAGGGACCTGTTTAGGCTTCTCTTATTCTCTGCCTGAGGCTCATGACAGTGGGATTCTGTCGGCAGGTAAAGAGAGCTGCTTTGAGAGGATCGTGTCACGATTTGGCAAGAAAGTCACCTATGTGGTGATTGGAGATGGGCGAGACGAGGAGGTGGCAGCTAAACAGGTGGGTTTGTGACTCTGCAGAGGTGGGAGGTGGCTCCCAGCAAAGGGAGGTTTGCAGGTGTCTTCTGCAGGGATTCTTTCCAGGGCTGAATTCTTCAGGCCAGGGCAGCCAAGGGGAAACTTTGCCTTTGATGCAAGAGATCTCTCCCTGCGTTAAGAGGGGGAATTCTGTGGCTGTTGGTGGTTTAAAGTTTCAGTTTTACTGTTGTTTAGGATTGTGTCTTACATTGTCCCTGTAAGACAGTATCTTGATGTAGCATGTCTTGATCATAGCACACGGCTATTAGCTGGGATCCTGCAGTTTCTCAGAAGCACAGAGGGAGTCAGGACTCAGTTGCCAGCAGCCACATCAATACACAGCATCTACCACTGGTCTGAATGAGGAGCAAACAGGTGGTTCGTTCCTGCTAACTAAAGGCAGGGAAGTGCACAGGTTGCTGTCAGGACACCATCTCTGCAGGCTCCACATGCCTGCCACGTGCCAGAGTTGTCACTTCCCTGGAGAGGCTTTCCTGGGTGAAGCAGCAGCTGAGGTTTCCATCAGGAGCATGCCAAGCAGCTGGTACCTGTCATAAATAGATGTGCAGACAAGATTAAGCTTCAGATACACACCACGCAGCCGAGGTCCTTCCTGAACGTGGTGTGTCACAACCTCGTATTGCACAACCCTGCAGCTGAACCTTGCCTGCTTCCACCTCGCTGTGGAATCACCCCAATAAACCCGACTTTGTCATCTCTTCCAGCACAACATGCCTTTCTGGAGGATCACAAACCACGCAGACCTCGTGTCCCTTCACCAAGCCCTCGAGCTAGACTTCCTGTAGGGAGCGGGAGCGAAGGTGTGACTGCAGCTCCTGCAAGTCCTCTGCATCGCTGGGGAGGCAGGAACCTCGTACATTTGGGGACTCACTTTTCAGCTTGATGAAGAAAACATAATGAGAACTGTGCAGCAGAACACGGCCCCGAGGCACGAGCTCAGGAGCACGGGCCCTGCCAAGCACAAAGGTGCCCTGTGAGGAAGCTCTGGACTCAGCAGAGCTAGAGCTTGCCTGAAGAAGAGACTCACAGAAGCCAGCTGAATTCCTCTAGCAGGTAGTCTCCAGAGGGAGAGGGTGATCCAACAGAAGTGCTTGTAGGAGCCTTCTCCTTTCTGTTCAGCTTAGTTGTAGAATCCAAGTAAACACAAAACCTTATTTTTATAGATAAATCCTGATGGCAGAGCTGAACCTCCCTTGTTCCAGGAAGCAATGAGAGCTGTGGGCTTTTCATAGGAAATACTAATGAAAATGTCAAAAATACCTCTACTGCTGTGAAATGTGTCCTCTCTCCTTCCCTGGTGTTCAAAGCAGTTAATTTATTACAATGTCCTTATGTTATTTCCTCAGTGTGGGATTACTGGAAAAGAGATAAGGGAATGTTCCTGGGATACGTGGTTCCTCGTAGAGGAAAGTCTTGGTGTTGAGTTGGTCCTGGTGGCTTCTAGTCAATGTGTGCTCGAGGCTGTTAACCAGCAGGAGATCACTGGATTCCATCCGTGATCCAGACCATAGATCCCACAGATTTTCCCTGGGCAGGAGAACAACTGCCTGTGGATGTTAAATACAGCACAACTGCAGACTGCTCCGGTGGGAACAGAGTCCTCATCTGGACTAGGAATAATTTGAGAGGACTAAATCCTCATGGATGTTACAAAGAAGGGAATGGTTATTAACCTTCACCTCCCCGTTTGTGAGAGTAAGTTCCTTTTAGCAGAATCTGATCCAAGTTTCTTGTATTCTTCTTTGCATAACTACATAGTTAGAAGCAAAACCCTTGGTAAGAGGGACTTCATTTTGGAAGACACTGTGACGCAGCAGCCTGGAGCATATTGGCTTTGGGAGCGATGGCTCATTGAAAAGAGGCTGGAATCCATGCCCTGCAGTGCCAGGAATCGGGAATTGTGCCAGCTCAGGCTGGGTTCAGTGGTTTCTGCCTCCTCCCTGTACCCTGATGGTACCAAACCAGGCACTGCTGAGGGTTCCTGCACAGAGATGTCTGCTGTGTCCCAGCACACACCTCTGCTGCACCCAGACCCCCCCAGGGCTGACCCCACAGCACTGCAGGGAGGACGCTGACCCACAGGGGCTGTGTTTGCTGCAGACCTTGGCATTGATGGCTGAGGAGTGAACTCCACCAGTGCTGGGGACCGTGGGGCACCATCGTGGACGTGTGCCTGGAGCAGGGGGCTTGGAGCCCCGGAGCTCAGGGGCTGCACACAGAGGTCTCTTGCTCTGGTTCACATGGCCCTAGCTTCGGGTTTGCTTCTTGCTTTTTAATCAGATTCTCTTTCTCCAGGGGGTCACAGGAGGCAGGAGAGGTCTGCTTTCCGTCCAGCTCTCGCTAGGTGTTGGTCCTGTGCTCTGACCTCAGACTCTCTGGGTCTGAGTATTGCCCCAGGAACTCTGCTTTAGGACAGTGCCCCTTGTGTAGAAGCTGCTGCCTGTGAGCAACCTGCCCTCCCGTCCCATTATAAGCATCTTGAGGAGCGGCAGCAGGGGTTGAGGAGAAGCAGGAGCCCATGGGAGATGTGCTTCCATCTGCCACACGCAGCACGGGGAGAGCTCAGGCGTGTCACCACGTGCAGCCCATGTTCGTGTGTGCTGGGGTTCCACAGCAGCGTGGGCCCCGTGCAGAGCAAGGAGAGATGCTGCAGGGCTGCAGCTCCATTGCTGCCAGGTCCATAAAGAGACCCGGGGTCCCTGTGAAGTGTTGTTCCTGCATCAGCCGGAGTGGATCCTGTAGGAAAAAGTGCTGTGCCAAGGAGCAGCCCCATTGCTCCCAGGGTCGGGACTCGCTCGCAGTCAGAGTCTGTGCTGGATCCTGCACATCCCTGCAGGTCCCCAGCCCATCCAGAGCTCTCCTGGGAGCTGTCCGGGGGGTGCCACAGCCTGTTGGGAGCACGCTGGCTCCGGGGGGCTGAATTTGGGATTAAACCCTGTGCCTTAACCTCCCACCATCCGGTTCCCCAGGGCCCGCAGCAGGCTGCAGAGGGGGTGCAGACCCCAGGGACCCCCTGGCTCAGCTTCAGCTGCCTTTACTTCAAATGGTGTTGAGGATTTCAACAGACTTTTCCTCAAGTGTGGAACTGCAGCAGCCAGGGATGCTCCACACGGATATTTATAC